GCCCAAAGGCCATTCTATAGATTAAAGGAAAAGGCTGGCTGAGAGAGATTTAAGTCCCAAAGTGCTCAATTTTTAAGGAAAAATGAAAGGCTGGCTGGGTTTTAACCCTCGGTAGTTAAAATGACTGTTCCAATAAACGTATCACTTACCAAGATTCCATATTCACCTTACACTATGGGGATTTTCCCTACCGGGGTGTATATTCAGGGGGATACAGGTACCTTTTAAATCTAACTTTAAAAATCAGGAAGAAAGCTGTTAAAACAAAAAGCCTCCTAAATCATTTGGTTGTCCCCCTTATTACCAGAGAGAGAGAGAAGCTTAAAGGACTATTTATTCAGACCCTAGAAACCTTTAATATAAAACTAGAGGCTTGGTGCACGAAATTCGTGCATGGAGTGGGGGGATGTCCCTCAGTACGGCCTGCACCCTCTCCAATCTGGGACCCCTTAAGGGATGTCCGACTGCCCATTTAGGCCCGATCCTGATGGTATCGGGCCTAAACGGGCAGTCGACATGCCTCTCAAATCTAGGACTGCTGGCTCCAAACCTGCCTGCCTGCCTGATTTCACCTAACCTCTTCTGCCTGCTAGCATGATCACCCCCTAACCATTCCCCTGCTAGTCTGATTAACACCTAACTGTTCCCCTGCCAGCCCAATTGCCCCTAACTGCCCTCCCCTGCAGGCCTGGGTCCCCCCCAACAGCCCTCCCTTGCTGGCCTGGTCTCCCCTAACTGTCCTCCTCTGCTGACCTAGTCACCCCTAACTGCCCACAATTGCCCTCCCCTGGAGGCCATCTTGTGGCAGCCATCTTGGGGGTAGCCATTTTTAACAAGATGGGGATGGCCATCTTGTGTCTTGGAGAGATGGTCAATTTGCATATTACTCTTTTACTAGATAGGCTAGGACACAGGGTGCTGGACAATAAGTTACTAATTTCTTAAAAAGAAGAGGGATGGCAAGGGCAAGAGTTTGACTTGATTTCCATGCCTGCCTATTCGAGCTACATGATATTTTATGGTTATGATTCAGCCTTCAATTTTTTCTTTCCTTGCCCTCCATATGAATGCAAAGCCAGGCAAGAAAAAGGAAAGAAATGCCACGTTGCTGCTCCAGGTGAGCAGTTCTTATTGGGAATGAAGTTAGGAGGTCACTAAGTTGAGATGTGGCCATAGATGCTTATGCTAAAAGCAGCTTCTGAAGAGATCTTATTGTCCTATGATCACTGGAGGATAACATTCATTCTCTTCTGGCAAAATTACATAGGAAATGGAAAGCAGTATTGCAATCACCTCACAAATACTGATGGGAATATCTAAAATGTTCAAGGCAGCCTGCTGGGTGCTAGACAGTATCTTGAATGGCACCATCCAAGAGCATCTCTATGGAAGAAGTGGCCTTTCACAAGACCATTAACAAACCCTCCAGCCACATGTGCATTCAAAGACATCCCATCAGACACTGAGCTCCGCCGAGCAGACACTGTCCTCTCAGTCTTTGTATCTCCACGACCCAGCACCGTGGGCACAGCATTCGAAACTCAGCAAATGTCTGTCAAAGGGAACAGAGAGGATGGACAACAGCACAGCCTTAGGTCACCAGCTTCGCCAGCCAAGCACAGTGGCAGCTTCCGATTTTAGACAGTTTGTAATCATACAGCAATTAGTTAAGCAGCTTTAATCTCTTAAGGGAAAATGAACAAAAAACACAGAAGGCATTCATCACCAGTGCTCTCTCCAGGCGAAAATTTTAAAATTAAATTTACAAAATAAGTGAAGCCACTTACAAAAAGTTTTCCTGGGAAGCCTCAGCCAAAAAGAATGAACCTTTTAAAGAGAGGCAATGACATGAAAGAGGCCAAGGACTGGATACACACTACCCTGATTCGAAACCAACCCAACAGGCCCGGATGACTTCTTCCAACGGATACAATCAAGAGTCAGGAACGTGTTCCCCAGTGTCATTCCCCCTTCTCAGGGTACCACATTTCTTACATTTCCCATCAGAATGACCTCCATCCTTCATAACTGTCCCTTTAATAAGGAAAAAAAAAACAACACAAAGAATGCATATACACAAGAAACAAAAGATAGTAGGACATGAGAAATTTGTATGGTGAATCAGATTCCAGTGATTTGTGATAAATACATTTGCTTTGTGAAATAGTGCATCTCTTATTCTAGCTGATAAACCCTCCTCATTCTTCTGTTTTCCCTACCTTGTTTTTCTCTTTCTCCAAAGAATTCATGTCAACAACTCCATGTGTGATCAACTTCACAATCAAGCAACAGGAGAGGGGAAATTTTTCAGAAAGAAAAAGTGTTCAGGTTTTGATTATTAAGTATGGGAAGAATCTTAAAATACAGATAATACCTTAGTGATTTCTGCCTCCTCTGAAGCCAAGCATATTAAAAATTAAGCCTCATCCCTCCCTAAGCTAAACTGCTTTGCATATATCTGAAGTACTACTGCCCTGCTGGAAGCATGGGAAACAGCAACTGTCAATACCATCGTAGGCACCACCGCAGGGCTAAGGGGGAAAGTCAGTGAGCTGGATCCATATTTCTCTTACCAACAAGCAGCTTTTCCCTCTGTACCTGAAGCTATAACTTGTTGCTACTACTATGTGATTTCTTAAAACGAAAGTATTACTCTGGGGAAATATTTAAAATATATATTCTTCTATTAAAAATATTTATCTTTTTTTTTTCCAAAAACAAAAATCGGTTCCGACGGAAAAGGATTTTTTTGAATTACTGGAGATATAGAAAAGGGTGGCAAGTGGAAAAATAAGTCTTCCCTACCGTCAGTGAGATCAGCCTCCCAATAACACCAAGATCAAAAGGAACTATCTGAAACGGCAGTAACTGGCCTTTTCTCCATGGGCATTTAGTAAGTCACCCTCTCTGTCTTCTGCAGACCAGTGCCAGCTCTTCTATCCTGGGTACCAACGTGCCCTCCATCCAGCAGCCTTTGGAGGGCATATGTTGCTGGTAGGACCTAGAACTGAAGTGGTGTGAATATAAAGTAATGAGACTGATGTGTTTTTTACACGCACATCTGCATGCGTGCACGCACAGAGAACACAGGACACATACATTCAGGTGAGTGATACTCCCCACCAAAGTAGTCACTGGGGAGGTTCCACATATCGCAACGATCACCAAAATGCTTACGGCATCTCTGGAACTTATCTGTGGGGACCGTTTATGAGCTGCACACGAAATGGCTCTGAGCATTTTACAGGTGCACCCCATTTATCATCCCAAGCCTCCTTCTTTTCCTGCCTTCTCTTCCAGAGGTCTCAATAGCTTCTGACTAGTCTGAAATTTAAAATTCTCTCTCCTATAACCCTAAACAATTATAGATTTTCTCAGAGAAGGGAGACAAGTCTCCTGGGAAGCAGCAAAATAAGGGGACAGATCAATCTCTAGTGACCCTGATCTGTGAGAGTGAATCACTGTTCTGGATCTTGGCTTCTGCCCGAAGAAGAAGAGGAAGAAGTCGGACTATTTGGCCGTTAAGGTCCCTTCCAGTTCTAACTTTTTAGGAGTCTGTGTTTCCAGGTGTCTCTAGACTTTGAGGACAGCCCCAGACATGTTTCCACCAATGGCAACATCATTGGAAAAACACAGTATCCTGTCAGGGCCACTCAAAGGGGACAACATACATTGGGATATATAAGCTCTGAAAAGTTTGTTAAGTGCCAGTCATATGACTTTATAGTAACAGCTCATACATGCACAGGGAATGTCAGCCCACCTGAGATTCCCTAAAATCACATCTTACTCCCTATTCTCAATGAGCCCAGATGGGCAGAAGCACCAAGCACCACCAGGGATGCAAAAGACACATGGTGTCAGCTGCTAAGGAAAATAAACCCCAAAGGTCCATGGGACTGAATTGACCAGCTGCATCCAGCTAGATACCTTGTTTCCACAGGATGGAGTTTCAGCATTGCTCTTGCCTGACTTCTGGGCAAAGTTTTTGGACTTTAGATCAACATTGCAGATAACCCTTGGCCACGTGGAGAATAATAATGATGTCCAACTGCCTTTTATCTCACAGCCTGGGGAGAAGGAAGCTGTCAGCTGTAGGGGTGGGACTAATTGCACAGTAAAGGTTTACAGTTCCAGTCAATCTCATTATCTGCAAAATGGGCACACTCAAACGCCTAGTCAGCTTTCCCTAGGTTTCCCCGGAATGAGCTTGGGTGGTAGTCCATATAAAACCTGTGGGCGTGGAAAATCCATGGGATTTGTTGTGGGGAGACCCAGTGGTCAGTCTGGGCTAAGCCACTCAGCTGAGAGAACCTGAACACCTACCTGCACTGCAGTTTCATCATCTAAACATGGGGTTAATCCCACTTACTCGTTAGGTCTCCTGGTAAGACCAAGTTCAACAGTGACTGAAATGGCCTGTCAACTCTATCGCATCAATCAAATGTCACCTTTTAACAGGGAATGTTAATTAGCTTTTGTAGAAGCGTAAACTCACTGATCTCGTTAGGAATATTTACTCGTGGAAAGGGTCAGAAGAAGAGCTACATGATCTTTTGGAATCTGCCAAGGAATTATATTATTCCACTTCTTTGGAAAAGATGGAACTTATTTTTATCTGCAAGGTCGATTTACAAATACACTCAAGTTAAAAGAAGTCAGGAGATCTACCGGTTTGAGAAGGTAACCCCTCTTTCCGCTACCATTTCTACCTCTGGCCGTTGTGCTCCTGAATCTCATTCCAAGCGGGTGCTGCCAGATTTGGCCCGCAGCCCTCAGGCCTGGGTCACACCTAGGGGGTGGGCAGTGCTTCTGGCCTGGGTCACAGGGAGGCAGAGACACAGTTCCCTTGGATACAGACTACAAAGGCCCTGGAACCTCTCAGAACCACATCGGGGTTGTTTTGCCATGAAGGAAACCCGAACACTTCGCTCTTCAGTACGAATGGCCAAGCCCAAAACAGAGAGCTCTGAAAAACAGGTGACGCTGTCCACGAGGTGCTACTTGGCCCCGGCCATGCTGCTGGACCGTAAGAGATACGGATCCACGCTTCCTTTCCGCCGGCTCGCAGTCCGCCGCTCGCTGTCAAACATGCGCTGCAGCTGCAGGGCCAGCCGCCTGTCTTCCTCCTCCTGCTGCAGTTTCTGCTCCATCCCTCGCAGGACCGGGTCTGCCGGGGCCGGGCCCGACTCGCCGCTGCTGTGTCGCAGTTTCTTGAGGGACCCATTCTGTTCCAAGTGCTTGGTCTTACAGTGTCTTTTCCGGCCCCGACGCAAGGCAGGCAGTGGCTCCTCGCCTCGGTCGTCTGCCACAACACCATTGGGCAGATCGAAATGATTCACTGGCTTCAGCTGTCTCTTTGTTTTGAGGACCTCGCCTGGAACATGGTCTTTGGGTATCACTGAATTCACCGCCGAGATTTTCATGGCTGTGCTTACACAAGTTTTGTCTAGCTTGGCATCTGGGGTTGACCCTGACCCTTCAAACTTCTCTCTCACGGCAGTCCCACTGGCTCCCGCTCCGAGTCCTGAAGGGCAGCAGGTTTCCAATGGGACCTCAGTGCTCCTTTTCCGCTCGCTGCCCTCTTGTGCTTTTGTTTGGCTACCAGAGGGGAAATAGTCCGGGTCAGCGGGGGCCGGTCCAACACACTCCGAGAGCACATGCCCGCGGGACAGTCTTGTGTTTAAAGCCAGCCGCGGCCTCTCCTTGCTAGAATGGATGACTTCAGAAACGAGCACATCTTCCCCTGTGTCCGGAGCCAAGGAGGTGAGGGTGGCTTTCGAAAGGGTTTTTTTGATCTGTCGCTCCTGGAAGATCTGCTCCCACTTTTTGAGGATCCGTGGACTGGCCTCGTAAGATGTCTGCTTCTGTAGACTTCTGGTGAGGTTGCGGGGTGTTGATTTGATGATGAGGGGACTCAGCACACGGCCGTCGGGGAGTCTCTTGGGAGGAGTACACGGCGAGCAGACGATGGGCTTGAAATGGTTGAGTTCTTCGGAGATGCTGTCGTTGCTCTCGGGGCTGATGGAGCGCTCGGGCTTGTGCAGGGAAGCCAGGGAGGAGAGGGAGCTGAAGGGCAGACGCTTCTCGATGGCCAAGTCGGGGGCGGAGAGGCAGCGGTGGTTCTGGGTGGACAAGAGGACACCAATGACGGGGTTGGAGGTTGGGGTTATAGTTGTGACCTGAAAGAGGTTAAAAAGATTATACCTACGTACATATTTACCGGTGTTTTTTTCTTCATCATTCCTTCATAATGGTAGAGGGATAGGGAGGGAAAGGGTTAGGAAAGGGATAAAGAGTGATATAAGCCTAAGAAAAGGGGAAAATCCCTAACCTAGAATGTACAACATTTTCAGAAATTCCTAAAATTTGAACCAATACAATTAAAAATCTATAGGGAAAAAAGTCATCTAGAAGAACTTCTAAAACTGTTCATCTGCCAACCCTCATGCCACCCATCTGGCTACCAATTCAAACCGTCTTCCCATCATTGCTATTTATAAAATTCCCCAGCGTAACCAGTCTGCCCAGGACCCTGTGCCTCGTCGCATGGAATGGTTTCCTTCCTGGCCACAGACAGGAGGTGACGGACGGGACTGACGCCCAGGCCTGTGTCTGAGGTGTACCTTGGCTTTGCTGGTCGGGGCTGCTCGGAGTCTGCTCCTCGTTCTGTCCTGAGCAGTGTCACTGCAGCTCTGGCTCCTTTCTACCTTTAGGTTCCTGAAAAAGAGTAAATAGAAGGCAAATAGTCAAGCGTAGCCCATAATGCTAGCTAAGGAGAAAAAAAATTAAAATCTCTTCTGTCCTTTCAAAGCCACCCACCAAGAAAGACAATTTCCTTGGGCAACTGCAATGGAAAATGAGTTAATTTAGTAACAAAACACATTCAAAGAACAAAACCTGTCAAAAGAAGAAGAGTTCTCCAGAGAGGGCATTTGGTGTAAGCTTTTGCTTCCAAACTGGAACTGCTTCAGTAACACAAGACCAGTGGCTGTTCTGCTCATGCTTTGAGAGAGACGGGGCAGTCCGTCTCTAGTGCTTCGCCTTCCTGATGGAGTGGACACACTGTCCAATCACCTTTGCAAACAACAGATTTTCCCCCTTCAAATGTTTCCACAAACCATCTAAATCAGCCATGAAACAAAAATTTAAGTACCTACAAATATGTAAGCACCCAAAATGCCACTCACTGATGAGCATTATCTGGGCAGTGAAAACACAAAGAATAAGATACCGTCTAAGTCTTCAACGAGTCAGAGTCCAGTGAGGCATACAAATAATTCAATACCATACAGTGAAATGGCACAACAAAAAGAGTGTGCCTGAAAGACAGGCTGGCATAAAGGAGGGGGTTATTAGTGACTTGATGGAGTGAGAGCAGGGCAGGAAAAGCCAAAAGCGAAGGTGGACACACAGTCATGCAGATGATTCCAAACAGAAATTATTTCCAAACAGTTTTACTTAGCTTTGGAATGGAACACATCATATCTCCTTTTTTTTTTTAACTTTACTTAAAATATATATATATATATATTTGAGTCTTTACAGAGAGGAAGAGAGAGGAATAGAAAGCCAGAAACATCGATGAGAGAGAGACATCAATCAGCTGCCTCTTGCACACACCCACACTGGGGATGTGCCCGCAAGCAAGATACGTGCCCCTGACTGGAACTGAACCTGGGACCCCTCAGTCTGCAGGCTGACGCTCTATCCACTGAGCCAAACCGGTTTCAGCTCATATCTCCTTTTTTTTTATAGCAAACAACTTACTTTTAAAGTTTTACTTTGCCAGAGAAAATTTATAAAGTGGTAATGAGGTATATTTTCAAGGCACCTCTCCTCTTCCTACATTTCTAGCAAAGGCCTGTCCTACCTCTGACTTCCATTCCAGCATTTCTGTGATATTCCTCCCATTCAAAACTTCTCATCCTGTGTCTGAGCGCCACATCACCTTTCTAGATGGCTTCACTCTGATGAACAAATCTATGCTGTGTTATCAACAGGAGAAAGTGGTGGCCAGCCTGCATTACACATCTGCCCTTCAAGGAAATTCAGCAGGGAGCCTAAACAATGTGAGAGTTGTACCCTCTAGTGTGAGATTTATTTTGGAACAGGTGGTAAACTTCAACATCACCCTACAAAAGCAGCTCAGAAGTCAGCTTGGCTTGTATTTTACCCATATTAGACCAATATTGGAATCCATTTGTACTCCCAGAGCTTATACAAACTGTCAGTGTTATAAGCCACCCAGAAGTAAACTGGATTGCAGATTAAAATGCTGCAGTGAATAACGTCCTTTGGGGTCAGGGGGAATGGATACAGAGCTGGAAAAGACAGCATTCTTATTTCAAATATATGACTTGTTTGGCATGATTTCATCAGAGAAAGAAGTAGACACTTAGACACTCATCAACCTAAAAAGAACTTTTTAACTTTCAATAGTCAGAGCAGGTCAGTGATAGCCTTAGGAGGTCCTGTCATTACATGTTCAAACTGAGGCTACACCTATACTTTAAGATCCAAACGTTCCATAACTAAGAATTAGCTTAACATAATTTTAAAAACCTGTTTATAAATCCATTTCGTCATCAGTGACAGAATCAAATGGAAAGACACTGACTGCATGCCCAAGTCACCGGAGGTACAAATGGCAAGCACACAGGCTAAGGAGGACCTCTTTGCATACACGCTACACATGATTTGTGGCAAAGATAATAAAAAGGCCCAGGAAGGAAAGCCACAATTGCATCACCGGCACACCAGAAAGACACCGAGAGCAGTTTCTGATCATTTACAATCTTCTGGGTAAGCTTCGGTATAACTGAAATTGTCACTGCCTCTTCCATTCATTTGGTCTGCAGACTTTACTGAGCGCCAACTCTGTGCAAAGCACTAGAGACGGACTGACAAAAAGGTAACCTTGACCAACAAGAGCAGTCAGTCACAGAAGTCCACCGCACCTTAGCATGACAGCGCTATAGGAAAGCAGTCTTTGTACTGCTACACTCTCTAAGAGTTGCCTTCTAAGAGTTTTATATAATAGTTTTAGCTCTTACATTTGGGTGTCTGTTCCTAAATGTAAGAGCTAAATTTGACTTAATTTTTGTATATGGTGTGAGGTTGGGGTCCAACTTTATTCTTTGGCAGGTGGATATCCAGCCGTCCCAGTACCATATGTGAACAGACTATTCTTTCCCCTATCGAATGGTCTTGGCACCCTTATTGAAAATCGGCTGACCACAGATGAATGAGTTTATTCATCTCAATTCTAGTCCAAAGATTGATATCTCTACCCTTATTTCAGTACTACACTCTTTTGATGGTTGTAGCTTTGCAGTAAGTTTTAAAATCAGAAAAGTGTGAGTCTCTACTTCTGTTCTTTTTAAAGATTGTTTTGGCTATTTGAGATCCTTTATAATTCCATATGTGAATTTTAGTATCAGCTTTTCATTTCTGGGAAAGAAAAAAAAAGGAGATTGACATTTTAATATTCAATCTAAAGATTGACATTTTAATATTCAATAAAAAAAAGGAGATTGACATTCATTGCAATGAATCTGTGAAACCAGTTGGGGAATTTTGGCATCATAACAATAGTAAGTCTTCTAATCCATAAGCACAGTGGTGTTTCCCTTTATCGAGGTCTTCTTTAATTTCTTTCAGCAATGTTTTGTAGTTTCCAGTGTCAAGAATTATGATACATCTCCGGGGTTAAACTTATTCCTAACTATTCTATTCTTGTTGATGCTATTGTAAATGGCATTGCTTTCCTAATTATATTTTCAGATTGTTCGCTATTAGTGTATAGAAATTCAACTGAGTTTTGTATCCTGCAACTTGGTTAGTTTATTAGTTCTAATAGTTTTTCATGAATTCTTTAGTATTTCCTATGAATGACACAAGGTCACTTGTAAATAGAGTAAATTTACTTCTTTCTTTGCAATCTAGATGCTTAACTAAGATATAACTGACATATACAGGGTGGGGCAAAAGTAGGTGTACAGTTTTGAGTACACGAAACAGTTTATTCTTGTATTATTGTTTATTAATTGTATTATTATTCATATAAATAACTGTAAACCTACTTTTGCCCCATCCTGTATTATAAGGTTGTGTAAGGTTATTTTCTTAGTGGTCACCCTGGGGATTACAATTAATATCTTAATTTATAACAACCTATTTCAAATTACTATGAACTCAACTTCAATAGCATACAAACAGTTTGGTCCTATATAGAACTCTGTTCCCCCATTGTGTTGTTACAGGCACACAAAGAATCACAAAAATCATGAATGTAATATACAATAAACATAATATATAGATATTATTATTGTAGTATTTGGTCACCTTAAGAAGCTTCAAAATGCTGGTGGAAATAGTCAAGGACAGTGAACTTGATATTATTCTTAGGCCTGAAAGAGCTCCAACAATAACTTCACTAAAAACAGGGAGGTAACCTCTCCTCCCACCTTTGTATACACCAGTTTCTGTATCCCCAAACCCTAACACAGTGCTGGGCACACAGTGGATAGAGTCAATAAGTTTCTTGCAAATGAATGCAAATATTGTATAGAAATGCCTCTCTTTTCTTTAAGGAAAGGAAACTTTAACACTTATTAGGAATCTTGTCTGTCAGGCACTGTGCTGGGTGTTTCAGATGTAGTGTATCTCATTTAATCCATGCGGAAGCCCGCTGAGATAGTGATTACCCTCCTCAGTTTATGAAGAACTGAGGGGCGTTATCCTTCCCAGGTTACACAGCGGAAGCCACGGCTTCACCCTGCATCTCTCTGATTCCAGGCCTGAGCAATTTCTACCACAGCAGCCTGACCTTACACTCTGCTCTGCTTCACCACAGAACAAAACCAGCACATCTAGGAAGCTCTCTCTCCCGAACACATCACTAAACAATAAACAAGAGAAAGCAGCATTGTCTGAAAGGCAACGGGTTTAAAATTTCTGCTGCCAACAAGCCAGATGGTTTCTGGGATGTCTGGTTAGGCTAACCATGCCCATAACCATAATGACTTACAAACAGAGAAAAGGAGGGACAGCCAGTATAAACACGCAGCTGGAAAGCTGGAAGATTTAATCCTTATAAAACACTGCTGAAAACATATTCAAACGTTAATCCGTGATATAAAACATTAGACAGCTCATACTCCCCACTGCTCACTCACCACTCTCACCCATAACCACATTACTTTCTTTTAATCGCATTCTCAGGTCTGGCAGAGCTAATTATCACCAAGAAGCCAAAGGCTAGGTGTGTGATCCCCCTTTCCTGACCCCCAATCCCCAACATATACACACATTTGAATGAAACCAGCCACTTCCTTAGGCCTAGCTGCCGTACAACTAGAAATGGGTGAAATTTCGTTACAATCCTTCCCTGTGTGTTTATGATCTGGCTTATACCAGCATTCTTTCTTTTTTTTTTAAAGTGTACAATTACGTTTCTAGATATTCACAGTTACTAAGCATCGCCACAATCAATTTTAGAATAACTCCATTATCTCAAACCCTTTAAGATATACTCCCGAACCCCATCCTTCTCCTCCTTAGCAACCATTGGTCCACTACGTCTCCACATATCTGCCTGTTGTGAACATACACTAGTATTCATTTGCAGATGGACAGAAACACGGCTTCCACAGCATAATCAAAAGGATTTGAGTCTCCTCAAACAGCATGATAACTGGACAGCTTCTTAGATCTCTGTAGCAACCTGGTATCTTTTTAGAACAAACAGGGTATAAATTATCCAACAAAAAGAAGAAAGGCAGCTTTCTCCTACAAAGGTAGATCATTTCAAGGCAAAGATCCAAGCACAGAGCCTTTTAGCACAGGGTTCTAAGAATGGTTTGATAGAAAGAGCATAGATTTACAGTCGACAGAGACCTGAGTTCCAATTCCACCTGTCACTCTGCAAAGGTGATACATTCTTGGGTGAGTTATTTAATTTCCTTGAACTTCATTTTTCAACCTCCCGAATCCCTCCCTGGCCCTGATCAATGCACAGGTGGGGTCCCTTGGCCTGGCTTGTACCCTCTCATAATCCGGAACAACTGGTCACTATGATGCTGTGAAATGAGAATAATATTACAAATTTTGCAGGCTTAATGTGAGAATTAAATGAAATGAGGTGAAGCACACTCAACATGGCAGGAAGCACTAGGAAAAAGCTAGCTCCCTCACCATCTGGCCAGGTCCCCTTTCCCCCACCCCAAACTACTATGATATTTCTATTCTATTATATCAGAGGTATTACTGACACCTCTAAAACCTGCCATTCTTCTTAAGTTACACATCACTTCTCCTTAAGTTTTTTTTTTTTTCATTTTCTAGCCATATTCCATTACTTTTTAAAAATATATATATATTTTATTGATTTTTAACAGAGAGGAAGAGAGAGAGATAGAGAGCTAGAAACGTCGATGAGAGAGAAACATCGGCCAGCTGCCTCCTGCACACCCCCTACTGGAGATGAGCCCGCAACCAATGTACATGCCCTTGACCGGAATCGAACCTGGGACCTTTCAGTCCGCAGACCGATGCTCTACCACTGAGCCAAACCGGCTTCGGCCATATTCCATTACTTTTAACAGCATAGGGATCTTTAAGAAGGTCATGGGGACAACCAATTTTTTTCAATTAACATATATTTTGTGATTAACTTAGAAGTGACCTAGGTTTAACTATTACTCTGTCTGCTTATTTACAAGAAGTTTCATTTTCAAAAGGTTATAGAACTTCGTTAATAGTGTTGCAAAGCCCTCTTTAAGGCTTTTAATTTCTTAAATGAAAAGAGACTGAGCTGTTGGCAATATTCAGCCAGAATTTGTCGATGGATTCCTTCCAACATAACCCTCCTATCAGACCTACTAACGCTTACCTCCTTTATGCTTTTGGGTTCAAGAAAGAAAAGTTTATAAAGTAGATAAGTAAAACTAATGCAGACTTATTTGATTTAAATACAGTTGTAAAAACTTTAAAGGCTTTTATAATACTTATGAATACTCTTTAGGAAAAGAACTTGCAGAGAAAAACTTTCGTTGCTGCTTGACAAAGAGAAAAAATGCAGTTGAAATATCCAAAAAACTGTTAACGATATAATTTTATTTTTTAATTCTGGTAAAATGTCCTATATAATAAAAACCTAATATGCTAAGTGTCCAGTCATTCAGTTGGCCATTCAACCAATCAAAGCATAATATACTAATGTTATGCTAAGGCCACTCAACTGCTCGCTGTGATGTGCACTGACCACCAGGGGGCAGACATTCTGACCAGTAGGTTAGCTTATTGCTGGGGTGTGGCTGATCAGAACTGAGCAAGACTGGCCGGACACGCCCTGGAGCCCTTCTGCAGTCTCTCCCCAGCTGGCCATCCTCCCGAATCCCTCCCTGGCCCTGATCAGGGCCTGGCTTGTGCCCTCTCACAATCCGGAACAACTGGTCACTATGATCCACTAGGGGGCAGATGCTCAATGCAGGAGCTGCCCCCTAGTGGTGAGGGTGCTCCCACAGGGGGAGCACCACTCAGCCAGAAGCCAGGCTCATGGCTGGAGAGCACAGTAGCGGTGCTAAGGGATGTCCAACTGATGGACATCCCCCAAGGGCTCCTAGGCTGCAAGAGGGAGCAGGCCAAGCTGAGCCCCTCCCCCCCTTGCACTATTTCATGCACCAGTCCTCTAATCTGTAACATAAAAGTTACCATTTTAACCATTTTAAGTTTACAGTCACATAGTTGTGCAACCACCACCAAGCTAATTCTTTTTCAATATATCCATATGCTACAACTCATTGTCAGCACTAACAACTCTATATTGCAACTGGAACTCAACATTTTCTTAAGGACAAAAGCATGTTGACTAAATAAGAGATGCAATCCATAGTATTACCATCATAGATTTTCCAACCCCTAAAGTTTCCATGACATCAGTAAACTATTTCCTAACAACCAAATCCAACTGTTTTAATAACTCTACTAATAACTGAACTTAGCCCACAACCTTGGATATTGTTAGAAAATGAATACTGAAATCCAGAAATGTGTAATACTGACACAGAGTGTTTTTTTTTAAATATATTTTATTGATTTTTTACAGAGAGGAAGGGAGAAGGATAGAGAGTTAGAAACATCAATGAAAGAGAAACACTGATCAGCTGCCTTCTACACACACACACACACACACACACACACACACCCCACTGGGGATGTGCCCGCAACCAAGGTACATGTCCTTGACCAGAATAGAACCTAGGACCCTTCAGTCCGCAGACTGATGCTCTATCCACTGAGCCAAACCGGTTTAGGCTGATCATAAACATTTCTTAACAGTAAATTTTAAGTGGATATATTCCTATAAATTAGACCCATTATGGCTCAGTGATAAAGGATAAGGATAAGGAGGGTCAAAGGGCAGGAAAAGAAGATATATTACAGATATTTCAGAGGCCATATAGTCAAAAGCCCACCCACCATATAGGCCTTGTGTTGCCCTTCAGAGAAGAATTTTCTAAGCTCCTTGATAGGCATTTCTAGGTATTGACATATTAACCTGCAACCAGCTTTAAGATAATGAGTTACAAGGGTTGACACTGGAACTGGTGATAAATAATTCATCTAATAGTCACACCAATTAATTGGGGCAATTTGGCCTTGGCATCATATTTGGATATTAACAAAAACATTTCCAAGTCATTCTCAATTATGAGATACTGATTAATCAGATTGGATAAAGCAACATTTATTTGTTTCAGGAAGTGTTTATTGTGACTTGATTGGAAAAATGGCATGACTTTTATCTCTTTTCAGTAGATTCCTCTTATAATCATTAAGATATGCCTGTTATGACCAAAACCAGTTTGGCTCAGTGGATAGAGCATCAGTTTGCGGACTGAAAGGTCCCAGATTCTATTCTGGTCAAGGGCATGTACCTTGGTTGCGAGCACATCCCCAGTAGGGGGTGTGCAAGAGGCAGCTGATCGATGATTCTTTCTCATCGATGTTTCTAGCTCTCTATCCCTCTCCCTTCCTCTCTGAAAAAAAAATCAATAAAATATATATATTTTAAAAAAAGATATGCCTGCTATGAATGGGGGGGGGGGTGTCCATATATACAATCAGCAACTGACAACTCTCAGTCAAGCAATCTTTAACTTTAGAGGGCATCTACAGTTAACTCATATACACAAAGCATGCGTTTCATCCTCATCATAAATGTAAAGTACAGTGGCTTACATCTTACATCCTACCTCCTGGGTCCTGATTACATCAGTCAAGCCTAAGTGACAACAATACAGTGTCCATTCAACAAATAAATGGGAGAATTAATATTCTAGGAAAGGGCCTTCCTGGAACAAAGAGTTACCGTTACCTAGAGAAGAAAAGGCATTTATGGGAAAGGGAAGAGGAAGTGACTTGTACTCTCAGAAATAACAGGAAATCAGACGACTCTAAAAGGATATATACAAATAGGATTCAGATACAAAAACTACATCTGCGATCACAATAGTACAGATCTCATAATATTCTTAAACTGATATCCCTGAGCACAAAATCGCGCACCAGTAGGTTGCTGCCACCTTCCGCCTACTTCTCTGCCCCTCCTGTAGCTCCTCCTGCCCCTCCTCCCCCCCAAACCCCCTCTCATAGCTTGCTGCCCTGTCCCCTCCGTAGCTCTCTAACCCCCACTTGTTGCTCACTGCCCCACTCTCCTGCTGATCCGTGATCCAGTCATAACACCGTCAGTCGTTACACCTCAGGGCGTAACAGATGATTAGCATGTTCCCCTGTTATTATATAGGATATGGTAGCTTTTGGGGTCATATTTATTAGTGACTAGCAAGAAAAGGCCTTCAAATAAAAAGGGTCCAGGTGTATATCCATAGGGGCAGCAAGAGAGATCTACCTCGCACTGTTGCTAGGAAGGACGAGAGAGACTAGAAATAAGGATGAGCAAGGCCAGCTTTCAACAACAACAACAAAAAGAGATAGCAAAATAGGTAATGATTGTCTTTATCATCTTTATATTAAAACAGATCATGGCATGTAGTAGATGCTCACAAAATGTCTACTGAATGAATGATTCCTTCCTACCTTCTTCCTCTATTTATTCTTCCCTTCCTGTTTCCTCTGTCTTTCCTTCCCTTCTTTCCTCCCTCCACCCAAACAGGGATTACTCCCCAATCATCCAATATCCAATTCAATTACTTCCTCCTTTCCTCCCTTGGGCCTGCAAGATCTAAAGGATTGAGAGGTTACTTTGGCAAAGTCTTAACAACTTTTCAGTTTCTCTCTTGAAACCTTTCAAGACACATTTTAGTTCTAGACACTGGAAATAAAATCAGCTCTGGTCTTCCTAAAGAGAAGAGCCACAGAGAGAAGAGAGGACACTGTCCACTGAGGCAGGATGGGAAGTTCACCCTTTGCAGCACAGCAGTGAGCACAGTCTCATCCTGAAGATTCCAGAAATGGGCGAGATTCACTTTCTTTAAAAATTCAGGTCAGTCCCTTGTCTCTCAACCGTATTTGAAAACCTGTTGCCACCTCTTTCCCCACTCCCACCTCCCCCAAAGTGGCTACCACAAATACGTTTGCTCTCCCAGTCCCTTTTGTCCCGTACCCCAACGAGAAAGAACCCTGGCCGAATGCAGCATCAGCCTCTTACCCTGCCAGGAAAGCCAGGGAGTAGGAGCTGTTCTTAGAAACAAACGCAGAGCGATGTGTCTGTGCCATCTTGCCTTGGGAAGGCTCTTCATTCTCCGAATCTGAGAGGCGCGCAGGGCACTGGCAGGAGAGAAGGGAGATACAGTGTCCGTTAGGGGTTCCCATCGATTCTCCCGTAGCTACTGTTTCAAATCTTTCCGTTGTGTCACGTCTACCTGAGCTCCAATCTGTGTTTATGTTCCCAACTGCCTCCTGGAGATCCCAATCTGGATATCCCAAATGCAGCTTAAATTTAACATATCCAACATCAAACTATCTATCTTCTTTAATCCACACTACAACCCAACTCGAAGCCTAGATGTCATCTATGACTCTTTTCTTTCCCTTTCTTTGAAGAAGTAATAAATTGTATAGAGGTTTTGAGTACCCCAACATTTCTAAATATTTTATTTCAGTTACTATTTATATCAGCTCTATTGAGAAGGTATCATTAGCTTTATTTTACAGATGGAAAACTGAGGTTCAGAGTAGTTAATCTGCCTGGAAGTGTAGAGTTAATAAGTAATTGACACTGGTTCATAAATCCAGACCCTCTGTTTCCAAACTACCTCCATGCTATTGCCACTCAACTCCATTCTACTGCTAAAACATCTCTCATCGAACTCATGCATACTACTCAATTGTCACTGCCTTTCCTTAGATTCTCATCATCTTCTGCCTAGACTATTGCAATGCTCTACTTACTGGTCTCACTCTCTTCAGCCTTCCTTCCTCCTAATCCCCTTCATACTATCAAGCACACAGAATCCTGCTTAACGGATGGTGACCTCAGGAGGAAGTCTGAACACCTCAGCATACTTCAATAGTCTTCAAATCTAGACTCAACTTTCTTTCACAGTTTTTCTCATGCCAATTCCCACACTGGCAACTCCCTGAATTCTAGTACAGCCAAACTACTTTCTTCTCTCCACTTGTACCACTCTAGTCTTTCAAAACCTCTATTCTTTTGGACATGCTGTTCCCTCTGCCTAATATTCCCCTTCCACATGCTCTGCCTCTGAAATGCTCATCGGCCTTTCAGAGGCATCTTAAATGTCACTTTCTCTGAAACAGCTTCCCAATATCCCTAAAGTCAGCCTTTTCCCCCTTGTTGATATTCATTCATTCACCTTTGTTTTATTTTGGAATTTTTTTTTTTTGGGGGGGGGAGTCTTTCAATTTGCATTTGAAGTTTCTTTTATATGTGCCTTTTGCAGACAATATATAGTGAGTATTTATTTGCCTCATGATTCAATATGAAAGCCTTCTTTTTAGAGGGAGCAAATAATCTCACTGAACTCTGGTTTCTTATTTAAGTGTCTGTGAGAGCAAGTGACCATCTTTTCTTTCTTTAAGAATCCTAATGCCATTGTAGACTAGGTAAACAAAACATATGTAATCGTTTAATGATTAACCAGTTGTCTAATGATCAAATGATTACCAAAATGAGAGTTATGGACAGAGGCATGCAAGACATCATCTTATGGCTCAGAGTACCCTGCCTTCCTCAAATGCTTGGTTATTTTTTTAGGCTGACGAATACATATATACTAGTACAATAAGTTTTGTTTCCTAATAGTCTTTGAGAAATAGGATTACAAATTACAGGGACACTTTTCAAATTTTGTAGGGTATAACTCTTAAAGAACTGCTGTACAAACTGTTCACGGGAGAAACTTTTAAACAGTACTAACCATTATACAATTTTACATAATAGTCTCTTCAACTCTGAGGGGGAAAAAAAAGCTTTGACACCTATAGACTCGACAGGGAATAAATAATGGCAATTTCTATTTTGGTGTTTCTATATAATCAATTCACTACCAAATAAAAGAATGTTCAAGCCCCAGCTCTATTACTTAGCTATCATGGTCACTGTAGGTTAGTTGTTTATGTTTCTGAGCTTTAGTTCCTCATCTATAAAATAAATGCTCCATCTACTGTTAAAAGGAGTTAGTATATTAATAAGTAGTAAGTGCTCAACAAAGATATATTTTTATCAAATTAAGTACTAATATTTTAAGAAAAACTTTAGCATTATAATAAATATCACTAGGTTACTTTTAATTATTGAAAAATACATTTACATTACTATAAATAATTATATAGATAGATGGCATCTCTCCCTATCGCTCTATATTTCCACCCGAAAAACCTAGAACCATAAGAGAGGAAAATATTTACATCTCCTCTTTCCCTTCAGGTAAAAATAAGCCTACTGCACTACAAATTCCTAAAATGGTATAAAATATGCATAATAAAATCCCAAGCCAATAAAACTTACTAAAGAAAAAACTCAGTTGTAATTACCCATTTGAGCTAACCAGTGGACCCTACAAAAGTACTTTAAATATACCACTTATAACCTTTCCCAGTAATTTGCTTGGTAAATAAGTAATGAAAAAATTTCAGGCAAGATTTAGCTCAATTAAAAGTCTAATTAGGCTAAATTTAAACTAAGTAATCTAACAACTTATTCCTAATACTGTGCTATTTAGAATAAAGAATAAAGGGAAATTCAAGCTTAATAGAAGATGTAAGACATATAAAACTCAAAGATGAAATAACACAAGTCAAAATGACAATATTTGTACAAAATTTACCACAAGTAGTCTACTGCACTAGGTTTTTCCTCCCGCCATTCTCTCCCACCATCCCCTTAATCTTTCCATTCAAGTCTCATTGTCCCATTCATAAATTACTTTCTCTAGCTCTCATCTGGATGCTAAGTTCTCACTATACTTAAACTGCAGTCAGTGACTATTATGAGTTCACCAACACAGGCTTTTCAGATCCATGTCACCTGCGATCATTGCTGATTTTGAGGCAGATGTCCATCAAAATAGTGATCTACTCACACACTCCAGATTTGTTTTCAGTGCTAACGGCTCCTCTCTTTTTTTCTGTTCGTCCATCTTCCTTTTCCCTGTTTCCGTGTCCTCTGGTAACAGCTTGTGGATTTGATCTTCGGAAGTTTTCTCCTCTTGTAACTTTTCTTCTTTCAGCTAAGAATACAAACCACACCGAGACAGTAAAATTTTAGGCAACTATAAACTTAAAAATATCTCTTTCTCAGTAGTCTCTTAGAACAAGCATCACATGGCAGTTGTGAGACTGTTTTCCTTATTGGATACAAAACCCTCTTAATTTTTAATTAAGTTAGTTTTTACTTGACTCTTGCCAAGCATACACTTCATGGCTTAAGATTTAACTGCTCTGCATTCTTGAGCAATATGAAACCATACAAGCTAATACACAATCAAAAACAATTTAATCATTTGGTAAAAAAGAGGCTGAACATAAAAACCTTCTTATTCCCATAACCAGATATAAGTGTGCTGGACCAGGAGAACAACAGAGAGGTAGGCCACATAGGATCAGAGAAGCTGGGCGAGGCAAAATGGGTCTTTAGGCCTCGTAGTAACAGATTCCAATGTCCTACAACTTATACCATTAACCCTGCAGGTGCAGAGAATAGGTCAAGACACATGACCTAGAAGAAATTTAAGGCAGAGATATAGCTCCTCATTTGAGGGGGGAGGCGTGGCATTATGAAAATAAGATGGGCTTTGGATAAGATGGGTTCTGGTGGTTCTGTCACTATTTACCAGCTGACCTCTGGCAAATGAACCATCATGTGCTCCCCTGCATAACAGATAATGCTGCCCGGGCCTGTTTTTCTCACTGGTTAGAGCACCAGCACACAGACGGAAGGGTTGTGGGTTCAATTCCAGTCAAGGCCATGCACCCCGGCTGCAGGCTCAATCCCCAGCAGAGGCTGGAGTTTGTTCAGGAGACAACCAATTGATGTCTCTCTCTCAGATCGATTTTTCTCTGTGTGTGTCTCTACCTCTCCCTTCCACTCTCCCTAAAAATCAATGGGAAAATATCCTCTTAAAAAAATAGATAATGTTACTTATGTGGCAGATACAATTTTAAGAAATGAGAATAAAGTTCTTAATGTTGTGTCTTGCTGTGTACTTACAGTACATCAAGAGTTTCCTTTCCTAATCGCCTTTTTATTCTATTTTTACTGCCCAGGGTTTTAATAAAACTTAAATGACGATGTATATCAAAGCAATTACAGGGTACTAATATTTTTAATACTTGCAAAAAAATACAAAACTAAAGAGTAAATATTTTTCATTGGCTGTTACTTCTGGGTTAAAACAACAACAACAACAATAAAGATTTAGTTTTATCTTTCTAATTTCTCTAGGCCTGATTCCTACAAGTCTGAACTAGTCTTTAACACACTGAGTCTAATTCAAGGTGATAAATATTACAAGAACACCATACACAATGTTGTATCAGGAGGAGATTCAAATGAAATAATGCACTCCCAACTCTTCCAAAGTCAAACAGCACGAAAGGAAGAGAAGCAAATCCATATCCAGGGAGAAAGCATCATAAGAGATGCTATCTGCCATGTGAGTGATCAATGTTGATGATCTTTAGCGAGACATTCTTGTTCAACAATTTGACCACAGGCCACACATACGGGCATTTTACTTTAAAAGGATAAAGGGGCGGAGTGGCTCAAAAGGGGACAGGTTTTGGCATCATCACAATTGTTATCATTCACTGAACTCTGTGCACCAGGTGCTGAGCTAGCTCACTTAAAGCTAAGGTTTAAGATAAGAGTTAGGCAATGCCTTCAAGTTCAGAGTCATAGCCCTAGAGCTGGAATTCAAATCGAGGTTTATCTCAGTGGCTCTCAACCAATGATTTCACCTCTCAGGGCACATCTGGCACTGTCCGGAGACACTTTGGCTACAACTTAGGGGTGGAGTATGTGTGTGCTGCTGTCATCTAGTGTCTTGAGGCCAGAGGTTGCTACTAGACATCCTAAGTGCACAGGATAGCCCCAATAATATATACATACACAGAAGTTACAATAAAAAAGAAAACCTAAATATTAAATTCCTTTAATATATTTTAGTGTTAATGTGTTTCGTGCATAATGGTATTTACATACTATGACCTGTGGCTTTAAATGTGTGTTTTAGAATGTATCCTTATGCATCCTAACAATGTTTATCTCTGCTTTCAAAGTTTCTGACAACAGACTTGTGTTTCTGTCAAAATCACCCTTTCATTGCAGCGCTGAGTTTCTGCTAACACAGCATCATCTTAGCAAAGCTAAAAATTTACACAGTTGAGCCGAAACCAGTTGGGCTCAGTGGATAGAGCACTGACCTGTGGACTTGAGGGTCCCAGGTTCGATTCGGTTAAGGGCATGTACTTTGGTTGCGGGCACATCCCCAGTAGGGAGTGTGCAAGAGGCAGCTGATTGATGTTTCTCTCTCATCAATGTTTCTAGCTCTCTATCCCTCTTCTCTTCCTCTCTGTAAAAAATCAACAAAATATCTTTTTTTTAAAAATAAAAATTTACACAGTTGAAAAACCATATACCCATTTAAATCTTCACATGGATCATGTTGGCGTTTTCTCTATGCTGAGTTCTGTAGAAGTTATTTTTTTTGTCCTTTGGTGGAATTTATTATGACTTGAGAACTTGTTCTCTAGGAAAGAATTTTTATACTCAGGGAAAATGACTGAGAGTGTCAGAAAGCAGCATTTAAACTTGAGTAAGAAAAATCAACAGCTGTTGTTTATTAAATTATTCTACATACCAGGTATTAAGTACATAGAGCTCGCTTCATTTTATCTTTAAGGGCTCTGTTTGTATATATCATTATCATTTCATAGACACAAAAAAGTAATACTCAGTATTTCCCAAAGTCACCATGATTGAATATTGAAGAACTTGTATTTTATAGTAAACCATTGGTTTCAGGTACCAGAGAGTCTCAACCTCAGCATGACTGGCATGTTGGGCTAACTAAAGAACTCTTTGCTATGGGGCTGAGGGTACTGAGCAGAATCTAATAAGGAGGTTTATGCATGCATACTGGCCCAATCGTTGGCTACAGAGGACAAAATGAGAAATTCTATCAACTATACACTGAGTGGTCAGGTTATTATGTTCTCTGAACGCATAATAATCTGGCCACTCAGTGTATATCTTATATAATAAAAGGCTAATATACAAATTGTCCCCTTGACCACGAGTCAACCAGCAGGCAGGCTGGCCAACCACCCATGTCTCTTCCCCCTGGCCAGGCTGGCCAGACCCCACCCATGCTCAAATTCATGCATTGAGCCTCTAAAATATATATATTTTATATATTTTTTATATTTATATTATATTACACACACACACACACACACAATGAGTGGCCAGATTATTATGCGCTCAGAAATCATAATAATCTGGCTACTCAATGTATCTCAAAACTGTCAGTCTGAAGTTAGAAAAAGGGAAACTTGTACCTATTAACTCCCACCTCCCAGTGACCAAAGTTTGCTCCACACAGTGTTAACCTGTTAACCGGGGAGTTCCCTTTTTAATTACGCAACACAGAACGGGCGTGTACTCTTTCACTAGGACGTGTCTGTACATCACGCCCGGAGGATGTAATTTCATATTATTATTTTTTAAATTTATACTTAAAATAAATGAAAAGACTATGAAATATATATATTTTTTGTTTATTTATATATAAAGCAGAAAGGAAAATACAAAATTACAAACAAATAGAAAAGAATACCAACAAAAAAATGGAAACATCGAATTAAAAAATTATAAATTTTACAATTATAAAGATTACAAAAAATATGTATTTTTTATTTCTATACACAAAAAATATAAAAAGTTAACAATTACAGAACAATAAACAAAAGCACACAAATAAAATAGAAATATTGAGTTTAAAAAATTAAAATATAGATGTAAAAATTCAAAACTCAACTTCCGTGTGATATATTTTAAAACAATTGTTGATACATAGTGCTACCTTACAATCCAGACACCAGTATGTAGATTCTTTCCTAACACCTTTTTTGTAGCAAACTCGGCATTTCCTGGATTTAGTTTTTCCTATATCGCTTTTCATTTGTTCTGGAAAATGCCTTTCAACTAAGCGTGATGGTTTAGATGTAGAGCTGCTTGTTGATGTCTTTGGGTGGGTTTTCACTATGTTGTTATCTACCAATTTCTCTACACAGTCTATCAGAAAGTGTAATCGATCCAAATGACCTTTATCTTTTTTGTATATAATATATGCATTGAAGCAGCACATATCAATTAATCGTAGAAAAATTTTTTTATAAAATTTTTTTACCCTATTACGGGCAGCCGTGTAGGCCACCATAACTCCATCTCCCAAATCTACGCCACCCATATTCTTGTTATAATCCAGGACAACATTCGGTTTTTCTTGCCTTCTTCCTCTCTTTTCAATCATTGTCTTTTCGTCATTATGAATGGAACTGAACATCAATACATCTTTTTTATCCTTCCATTTTGTCTTTGAATCTTACTATATGTTCATTTTTCTGTAATTTTTTTTGTTTTTATTTCACTGGGGATTCCGACTCTGTTTATCATCATTGTTCCAACAATATCTGTATTGTTTTGACACAAGAGTTCAGCCAAATGAATTGACCTATAGAAATTATCTAAGTAAATCCTATACCCTTTATTCAGTAAGTCATGTGTTAACTCCAAAACAATTCTTGTTGAACACGTCCACCACTCTCACTAGCGAAATTATACTGTCTCTTAAATTCATGTAGAGACATGTATGAATGACTAATACCTTTGTTGTTCGGAAATATTCATCCCTCCTGTTTCAGGGCGCAACATATATTTCAAGGACGTATTCATATGTCCTACCCGTACCTGATATTGTTTACATTTGACGTATTTATACGTCCCGCTCGATTAACAGGTTAATAGGTTTAAGTAACCCTCACATTGGCTTGTACAACGCAAGTGCTCAAGGTGGGTACTACCGCTACTACAAGAGAAAAGCCGTAGAGCTAAAAGCAAGAAGCAAGCAGCTGGCCCCTGAACAAGACCTCAGGCTGTACCAAAGTGAGGCTGCCCACTCTGTGAGTGGAATGATTTTCATTGCTTCCTTTTTTAGATGCTAATCAC